GGATGATGGTGGGGGTGTGCTGTGAACTAAAGTAGCTATTATGGACATGGTACCTGCAGGGTAGAGCAGTGACCCATGGAGCCTGTACCATGGCAGCATGCCCCTTTGACAGATGATTAAGAAATTGTTGAAAAGTATTTTAAATGATTGCTTTAAAAATATCTATTTATGTTGAAAAAGAGAGAGAGAGAGACAGAGGGAAAGAGACCTTCCGCTCACTGTTTTGCTCCCCAGAGGACTATGATAGCCACTGGTGGGCCAGGTGAAAGCCAGCACTTTATCCAGGTTGCCCTCAGAGTGGCAAGGGCCTACGTATTTGGGCCTTCTTCACTGTGCCAGAGCGTTAGGCTCTAGTCTTGCTGTCCATGAAATGTGATGAAATCCACCCACTGCCAAGACCCTCTTCAGGACTCTGGTCCATTTTGCACTGGCTGACATCATAAGTGGTCTGTGAAAGAAAAATAAGCATATTCCACCTGATGAAAATGGAGCGGCTTCCCTTGCATTTGCATTTGACCTTATTGCAATGACTTGAATTTTCAAATTGCGACGTTCCCACGTGTTAACTGGCAGGGCTGGGGCAGCCATCTTGGCAGACATGCAGCATTTTCCAAGGCAGGAGACAAAGGGATTGTTCATTATGAATCAATGTTCTCTTTTTTTTCAGCGGACCAAATGCTTTTACTATACAGCTGCCAAGGTGCCGCAGATCCGAAAGCATAAGCTGCTCTCCCATGCCTATTTCTTTCTGTTGACTTAACAGATATTTCCTTTAGCTTTTCAGTTATCTGAGGGAAAGAACAGGTTATTTGTGTATTAATTGATAAATTTCAATTGGATGTTTGTGATCAGTACTCACAGCCATTTTAGTGTTCCTGTGGGCAACTCTGGACACCACGAGAGAGTATTGGACTCCTAAAACCGTACAGAATTGTCCATGCAGTGTGGGCTTGCAAGCTGGAGACTGAGTGTCTCTTGGTGTCCAGCCGTTACTGCTGGAAGCTTGAGTTGCTTTCCTCTTTGGCTGCTCTCCCTTCAGTCTCTTGTCCTTGTGATCTGTAGGTGTCCAACTGGTTTGGCAACAAACGAATCAGGTACAAGAAGAATATCGGCAAGTTTCAGGAAGAAGCCAACCTCTACGCTGCAAAGACAGCCGTAACGGCTGCACACGCAGTAGCCGCCGCTGTGCAGAACAACCAGACCAACTCGCCCACCACACCAAACTCGGGTACGTGCCCAGGCAGCCTAATGCCACAGCACCCTGTCCCCAGTCCAGGAAACAGGAGCCCCACCGAAGACACAGAGGATTTACAAAGGAAGATTCATGTTCACATGCAGGGCTGTTCTTGGAATGGGTAAATGGGTGGATGACAGAGCTTATAAACCCACTGTGCATAGTGAATGCCACTCACCACTAGTAGGTTCTGGAACTTCTGTACTCAGTAGTGTTTGGAATTCAGCAGTCAGAGTGCTGTCAGTGAAGGCTGTCTGAGCTGTACTGCTCCCCGCATCACTGAAATAGCAGAAGTGGGCGATGCACTTGTTGCTGTCTGTATCGAAGCTGGCATGTTGGGTCAAGCACAGTGGCGCTGCCTACCTAGTCCAGTCACAGATTGCTGTCGACTCGGCTTGCTAGCGCTGCTGTCACCCTGGCTGAGCGTCCTGGCTCGGTGGGCTCTGGAGCCCTTGGCTGGGAGGCATGTGGGACTCCACGCACGGGTGCGATGCTCTTGGCTCCTCATCCCTACACTTGGTCAGATTTTATGTGACACTCATGATGGAGTGTTTTTAAATTACAGGAAGCTTGAGTAGTAATGAAAAATGTACAGCTAGTGCAAATAGATGGCCTTGGGCAGCAATTCAAAGGGCCTTCCTAAGGTGTTTCAAATATACATGAGAAGCTCAGGAAGTAGGAGACTGAATGGTCCCTCCTACCCCTGTTTCTTTTCATGCAGCATGACCACAGCTAAGAGGAAAGGAAAGGCAGAGTGAGGGTGTGGTCAGCAGGGAGCTCGGAGGAATTGTCCCGGAGCTAACTGGGAGCAAGGCCAGGTCCCAGGCCCGCCGCTGGGTGTTTTCCGTTTATTTTTCTGTGCGTGTGTCTCTCCTTGTGTCTCTGTTTTATTGATTTTTCTAATTTTCTCTCTCTCTCTCTGGCTTCCTAGTGGGTAGGAATTTTCCTAGAAGGAAACCGGGTGGCAGGACCTAGTCTCTGGAGTCTTTCTCCCTCTCAGATGTGGAAGTGCCTTGTGTCGTGTGCAGTCTTGCCCTCTGTACCTGCTCTCCTCCTCTGCCTCTGGCTCTGTGAGGATTGTGTGTGTAGCTCTGTTATTCAGCTACTGACCTCTTTCCTTTCCAGGTTCTTCTGGTTCTTTTAACCTCCCAAATTCTGGGGACATGTTCATGAACATGCAGAGTCTGAATGGGGATTCTTACCAAGGGTCCCAAGTCGGAGCCAATGTGCAATCACAGGTAGGAGAGATGCCCCACCTGGGGCCTTTCTAGCAGGGTAGGCTGTGGGCTCAAAACTCCTTCCTCTGTCCCCATGGAAGTGGTCCGCACCTCCGTGCAGACCCCGTGCTGGGTGCTTCCACACGTGACCCGTCTGCCCCACCATTTAATTGAAGGAAAAGTCAAGTGAGCAGTGGCTCTCGATGATTCAAACCTGATGAACTTTGTGAATGCATTCGGCTCTGGCTTGAGCTCATGGAGAGGGGTTGGTGATTCCTAGTGCTACAAAGTGGAACAGAAAATGTGCGTGTGCCAAAGTGTGTGTGGTTTAAGAACATGCTGCTCTGTTTCATTCCTGTATATTTTAAAGTCAGAATAAAAAGGCCTAAGTTCTTAAAGTAGATTTCAATTTCATTTCTTTTTCTTATCCTCTTAATTGAGAACAACTACTCCGAGTTTTTAGTGCATGAGATGGAAGCACACGCATGCGCGTGTGTGTGTGGCAGGGAGACTGACCCAGTGTAAATAGTTGAGTAGTTTTTTGCCCACAGCCACATGCGTTGGGTTACTGTTGATGGAAAGCTCACATTGCCCTGAGGATGTCTTTGGCTGGCATGAAAAGCAAAGCTATGTGAGTTTAAACATGCAAAGAGTTGCTGAAATCCTGCTGGCCGCGTTTGAGTAATAAATTTGTCTTTCATTGAAGATGCTAACCCCTTGTGGCACACATGATTCAGATTGTTCCCTTTTGTAAGTGATGATGTTTTAATAGATTAGGAATGATGAATTTTGTTTTTTCTCACTTCTAGGTGGATACCCTCCGTCATGTTATCAATCAGACGGGAGGCTACAATGATGGCCTTGGAGGAAATTCGCTGTACAGTCCACATAATTTAAATGTGAGTACCCTGGGGGAGCTGACTGAGGAATAGGACCAGGTAAACTCTGCCTCCTTAGCGTCTTTTTGGCCAGTGGGTTTGGCTTCTCGTTTTCCCCACAGGTAAGATGTGGAGTGTGTAGCTGCGCTTTTACTGTAGGAACTTAGGCTAGATGTTACTGGAGACCTTTAGAAGCCCTCCCAGGGGCCTGTATCCTGTCACCAGCAGGGACTTCAGCACCAGCCCATTAAGACCTTCTCCTACCCACCTTCCTGGGCTCCAGGGAGACGGTGAAAACAGGCCATTTATCCTGGAACCAAGTGGCAAGAAAAGACCCCTTGCTCCCCAACACACACACACAGCCCAGGAAGGTGAGAAGTGCGCACGGCCCTGGACACATGAGCGAACCACACTGGGCCGGCCTGGCTTCCTGCAAGCATCCTGCTGGCTGCTGCATGGGGGGTGAAAATCACATTGCACAGTTGTAATGGCTGATTGATGGCTAGTTTTTGTATCAATCTGCTAATACTGACTCTTCTGCCACCTGTTCACGGATGGAGAACGGGCAGACCACGGCTGGGAGCGGCTGGGGACTGGTGCTGGTTCCACCGGGCTGGAGCTTTGGGGTTGCAGACTTGGGCACCCCCCGGCCCCGAGCAGCAGAGTCAGGAGCCAAGTGGACCCAAGCCCCCCTGGACTTGCTCTACAAGTAAATATTAATGACTGAGCAGGTGATTGAGGCTGTTCAACTGTGGAGGGAAAAAAGGACCATTAAATACTCAAATCTTTTACATTTGAAATGTCAAATCTTTCTTTTTGGGTTTATAAATAACTCATAATAACCCACAACAAACCATATAAAAAGCCTTTTAGTTGCATTTCTCCTTTTTCATTTAAGTGTTTTGAAATGCTTCAGAGCGTGCGCGATATCCTTATCAACATGATAAAATATGAAACCAAGATCGCCTGCAGCACTTTGCAGGCGTGAGCTCCGTCTTCCCTGATGAGGCTTGATAATACAGCGCATAATCTCAACCCACCAGAGTGAGGATTAATTTATTCTGAAAAAAAGAATGCTTGCTGACAACCTCTCCTCCAGCTGCCATGCTGGGTAGAAATATTGTACATTTGTTATTTATAAATTTGGATAAAAGAGGAATGATGTTTACTTCAGATGGAATATCTTTAGACTTGTATCTGGGTAAGAGTTTTTCTTTTCCTAAGTGGATTTTCCTACCTGAGGGGAAAGCAGCTTCTATTTTAAATGAAGAGGATTTCCTTGAGCAAGGCACACACACACACACACACACACACACACCCTGGCCTGCCACAACACACACACACACACACACACACACACACACACACACACACACACACACACACACAAACTCTGGCTCGCCACCATGCGCGCTTGTGTACATGCACACACACACACACTGGCCCACCACCATCACACACACACACACACACACAACCCACCACCATCAACACACACACAACAGCCTGCCATCACCTACCCCAGCAGCTTTGTTTTGAATCTCGCTTTTTTTCCTTCTTTATAACTTAAACTTGATGTGCCCCAAGCCTGGAGAATTCTTTTCCCACTGGCTCTGGTCATCTCCAGATGAATTGTTCCCTCGGTCTTGGCGCATTAGGTGTCACTCCCTACAGTGATGCAGGCTAGCGTGTGAAGGCAGAGCAGGCAGGTGCCGGCACACGCTCATCTCAGTGCTGTGCAAGGCTGGGTCAGGAATCAGAGTGGAGTTCTGGATGGACTAGTGGGCAGATGGGAGAGAGGCGGGGGACCCCAAGGCCCACACCAGCATGGAGCTTGGGGGCCAAGGGGTGGGGACCCTGGATGACAGCCAGCTCACCCTTGTCTGCCCTCCAGAAAGACCCACCCCGTCAGTTCCATTTAGGGTGCCCTGACTCACCAACCCAGCACCTCCCTCTTGTTGACTGACATAAAAATATGTAGCGACAAGCTGTCTGCCACAGCAGAAATCTGATCAGACATTGATTTCAGCAATTGCCTCTATAGGCCAAGACAGAAGGCAGATTTGTTTCTGAGTTCGGCTGTTTGCTGATGCAGGTCTGAGGCAGGGAGGGCTGGCGGCCTGGGCGAGGGGGGCCGCGGCCGGGCAGGAGCCCACTTACAGATCATTGGAATGCAAATTTGAACAGTGTACGCTCCTCCTCAGTTCATGCATTTTCATTCTGGAAGGTCTGGGCTAGAGGGAACTTGTGGCCTTCACCTGCCAAGGGTTGCAGTGGCTGGCTGGCAGGCATGGGTGGAGACAGGCTGGGCAGCTTGCGTCTTCCGTGGAGCTCAAGGCACTGCGAGGGGCCGCCTGGCGTTCTTGCACCGCTCCTTTCCTGTGGGTTTCCTCGCCGGCAGATCAAATGCCGAGCCTCATGCCAGCTTGGGACCAGCTGAAGCCTTCTCGCGCTTGCTGATTTATTGCCAAATCTTTACTCGATGGGATGGATTTGTTTTACATGCATTTAATCCCACTTTAACACATGCTTCCAACTCCTGCCAAAGTGGGTTTGGAAAATACGTGTAGCTAATGCGCCTTTGCTCGCGTGGCGTCGTCTGGCTTCAGCGGGAGCCGGGGTGGCGACGCGCACGTGCGCCCGCTGAGCTGTGTTTCTCCTTTCAGGCTAATGGAGGCTGGCAGGACGCAACGACTCCATCTTCTGTGACTTCTCCCACGGAAGGCCCAGGCAGCGTGCACTCCGATACCTCTAACTGACCTCTGGCCACGCCCCCGGCTGCTCTGCCTTGATGAGTGCATTCACAGCAATAGGAGGAAAAGGAATGCAGTTTTGTAGCCCACCATCTACAGCTTTACTGTAAAACCTTATCTTATTAGAGAACTGGGAAAATCTGTTTTTTAAGGAATCATAATCATTTGTATTTATACTGAAAAACACACAATGTTTTAAAAAAGGAAAAAAAAAAGCACTTTATCCAATTAGGCCAAGAATTCACATTGTTGACAGTCCTGTAGCTCTTTTATCGTAATTTATTGTCAATATTTTACATGGATGGTTTCACAGTTGCCAATTACTTGGCCTTAAGGGTAAAAAGTACAGTATGAGCCCCACCCCGGTCACTAAAGCCACGGCGGAGCCCCGGCCTGCGCGCAGCTCCGTCGCACACCTGACTCCCTCGTGGTGGCACTGACCAAGCCGGCCTGAGCGAGCAGTCCGGCCCCCTCTGTCCCTGATGGTCGTGTCTGGGAGCCTTCTCATCACACTGGCGTCGCGGCCACTTGTGTCGCCGTTAAATCAGAGACTGGCGGCCTCTTTTCTCTCTGAGAGCGCCGGGGCCCAGAGTCCGCTCGGTAACTGAAATACGGATCCAGATTGTCCTGGGAGGTGAAGCTCCTGGCTGCTGGTGGAGGTGAGAGCGAGATGGGCCTGGGGTCTCCCCGCAGGCGCTGGGTGCTGCACACGCTTGTCAAGGTTTGCTCGTCCTCCGGCACACGGCCCTGCTGGCTGGAGTGTTGTATATAGTGTAGCAAAAGAGTATTTATACATCTCACCAATCCAAACAGAGCTTTATTACCTCATGCGAACTCATTCGAACCAATAGAATCTCAACCTGTTCTGTAGCTTAGAGTGCTCACTTACTACCTCTGGACGATACTCACGCTCTAGTGTGTCTCTTTCTTATCTTTTTTGCATCTTGTAATTAACTCTTTGTTTCCCTTCATAAAAATGTAATGTACATTGTAATCTTTTAAAAGAAAAATCAGGGTTGCCTTTGCAACTTTTAAAAAACGGAGAGTGGAAACATTGGGTCTTAATTTAACACAGGATCAGTAAAACTGTTGTAAATACTGAGAAACATTTTGAATGTTCTTCATCTTGTTACTAATCCATGCAAAGATCAAAAAGCGGCAACTAATTGTGATGTATTCAGATTTCAGTATTCGGTACTGTATATTTCACCCTGTGTAATGGGGTCCCCCTCCTTTCTCTCTTTTTGTATTGTATGCGATTCTGAAACTGATTGAGTCATGAAAATAATTTGTGGCGGTGATTCTAATGTATTACAAACGTTTCGTGTTCCTTTCTAACTGGATTACACCCTGGATTGAAAAGTCTTCCTCGTGGTAGTTCTATGTAGTTTCAAACATGAATAAACTTTTGCTTTCATGATTACGTGTTGATGCCATTTCTTCCTCAGCGTCTGGGGCCCTTGCAGACACGGGGGCGTCTGGGGCCCTTGCACATACGGCGGGGGGTGGGGGACCTGTGCCTTGGTGGGGCCGGGCCAGGCAGTGTCGGGACAGCCACACTGACCGGGCAGCTCCCTCCGGTGCAGGGCCTGGACTCCCTGCAGGCCCCCGCTACGGGGTCACGCACCCACATATGATGCTAATCCCTCTGCTGCCCCGTCGGAATCAACACCCCCATTCTTGTAGCTTAGGAACTAGAAGCTTGGGGAAGACAGGCAAGTACCCCGAGTTCTCGGACCTAAGACAGCTGAGGCAGCTGTTGGGCCAGGTCTCCTGCCCTGGGCACTCAGGTGTTGTTGAACCTAACGACACCCTGGTACCCGCCTGATGGCGAGTCCTAACCAGGCCCTCAGCACAGCCCCACAGCTTCTTTAAAGTCAGCTAAAGTTTGTGAAGAATGGACTGCTAAGTGCCTTTACAGAAACAAAAGCCCCTGCCACTTTACATTAGCCTTTCAAGCTCCAAATCTCCAATCTGTGAGGCCGACGGGAGGGTCCTTTAACTCAATCAGGCGTTGTTTTCATTCTCTTCAGATTTGTTAGAAATTCGACGCATTTACATACATTTTTGTTGCTAATAACAAAACCTTGATAATAAAAGAGGCCCGTAGCAGGTAATTGGACTGTTTACTATATCTCAAGGAAATTGACTTCCAGGAAATCAGATTAATGTTAATCAGTTGCAGCAAATTGCCTATGATAAATACAGCTGGTTGAGTATTTCTGTGGGTTGAGCAAGGGAAGCAAGCGAGGTCTCAGGCCGCTCGGCCTGCTCACCCGAAGGCGGTTGCACTGCGGACTGCGCTCCCAAGCTGGCCGCTCCCCAGCTGCTCGGCCAGCCCGAGGAGTTTCTCACTTGTGGTGGTACTTACTCATTTGCATGATTCATTTCACCCTGGGTCAGCCTTTCCCATCTGCACAGAAAACAATCCGTGCTATGGAAAATATATATATATTCACACATGTATATTTTTATCTATTCACATGCATATCTGTGGAAACGGAGCATTTGTGCACCTGCAGATCTATCTCCTTTAAGGCTGTGGCTCAGACTAAGTTGGCTAAGCACCAACTCAGGTTTCATTTGGGGCCCTTCTGTTGAGAGCAGCCTCTCCCAGGATCCCCTGGCTGTATTCTGGGGACCCCTGAGGGGCAGTACCAATGCCCCAACACCTGACCATCCCTCTCGGAGACTGCACACGTCCTCATTTTGTGAATGAGGAGACTGAAGGACCTCAAAGGCCCTCTGGCCCAGCTCCAGGCCCCTGGAGTTTAGAATGCTCTCCCGACTCGGGGACTCCACAGCCACAGTCCCAGGTTTATTTATTTACTGGAAAGGTAGAATTACACAGAGAGAGGAGACAGAGGGACAGAGAATTCCAGCTACTAATTCACTCCCCCAGAATAGCTGGAGTTGGGCCAGGCAGAAGCCAGGAGCTTCTTCCAGGTCTCCCACTTGGGTACAGGGCACAAGCTCTCTGATCATCCAAAGTAAGTGAACCAGTTGTTGATTTCTGATAGATTCTGACCAGGGAACTTCCTAAATCAGCACTGGGTTGGGAGTATCCCCAGAGAGAGGTGAAATCGGGGCCCACCTCTGTTCTGTGGTACAGAGAAGTCAAGTGCTTGCTGAGGGTGTTGAAGACCCCTGGACCCCAAGACTGGAGAAGTGAGGGTCCCCAGCCCCTTTCATGAGGTTCAGAGAAAGGACCAGCAGGAATGGGCACACATTCCCGCAAGGGTGTGTGGGTGACACGCACAGGAACACAGGTGAGAACCTCACGTGTTCACAAAGTCTGGATGCAGCAGGCAGCCGGGACGCTCTTGGGCCTGGAGGCCTTACATACAAAGCCCCAAGCCTAACCTGGTGGCGGCCCCTGGCTGGAAGTGGGGACAGGAGGGGCAGCGTTCCAGGGAAGAGGTCTCCCAGTGTAGGAAGGAGATGCTGGTGGGGGGTGCGAACAGAGGGTGCATTGTGTGTAAAGTGTGTGCCAGTGCCTGCACTGGTAGGCACTGCTGATGGGCAGCTCCTGGAGGTCCACCGTCGGCCAGCTGCTTGCCCTAGAGTCCCACAGCTGGGCACCAGTACCCCAAGTTCAGATGGGAAATCGGGCTCAAGAAGGTAACACCACCTGTGCCAGGTCCCCGATGGAGTGGGGAATGCCCCGTGTGACACTGGCAGCGGGACCGAGGAGGTAAACCATCAGGCATCCAGGTGAGGTCCCTGTTGGAGCGAGGTGCCCAGGGTGCCTGCCCTCAACCCTCTTCCTGTCTATGCTGTGGTAGCCTGGGCCACTGGAGCAGGGGTGGCCCCTGCTGGGTTTGAACCCTGGCTGTACTCCCTACTGTCCTGCAATTTTGTGTGAGTCTTAACCTGCCTGTGCCTATCTCTCATTCCTTCTTCTGAGCAGCTGCAGAGCACTGAGCCCCGGCACAGCCCAGCTCTGTTGAACCCCGAGTCAGTGCCTTGTAGCCTACCCTGGATATCCAAGCAGAGATCAGGGGAGGGGGCAGCAGGGAGGGGAGGGTTGAGGCAGGCTGGGGAAGGGCGTGTCAGGCCAGGTGCCCTGAGATGCTGCTCTCTAATCACACCCACGTGCTTTCTTCGAATCCTCACACCCTCAAAGAAGGTTCTGGAACCAACTCCACTTTGCAGATGAGGAACTTGAAGTCACTTAGCCAAATACCCATGGAGCAACAACACAGGGCCAGGGGACCTGAGGCCAAGAGCTGCGTTTCTTGCCTTTTGTGGCTCGTTGCCTGCTCAGGCCATCTCTTTGGCATCTTGCTGTGTCTTTGGGTTCCCCACATGCATGCCTGCCACAGCCACTGACTGGTCCCCAGCAGCCTGGGATGCCTGAGACACATGGGGAAGCTGCTGTGTCCACACACGTGGAAGGGCGCAGAAGGCCTGTGCCTTGTCCCTGTGGGGCCTGGAGCCTCAACTCCACCACGGGCAGCAATCCTGACCCTCTCCCAGCCCTGCACCTTGGAAAGGAGCATTCGTCCAACAGGGCAAGAGCACCAGCATGGCCTCCCCTCCCAGCCAGGTAGGTCCAAGGGCCAGCCCCAAGATGCGAGCAGGTGCCCAAGGCATCACCAGGGCCACTTCCAAAAGCTCACACGGGAGAGCAGGCTTGTAGCCAGGCAGTAAAGACACATGTGTCCATGGCTAAGGACCTGGACTCCGGCCCCAGTCCTGGCTCCTGCTCCTGGCTCCTGGGTCCATCCACCCAGGAAGGAAGCACAGATGGCTCAAAGAAGGGGGATGCTGCCCCTGATGTAGAAGTAGGAAGAGAGTTCTGTGACCCTGACTTCAGCCAGAGCCAACTCCAGCCATCTGGAGAGCGAACCAAGAGACGAGAATGTTCTGTGCATGTGTCTCCCTCAAATAAATAAGAAATAATACCTTTTTTTAACAAACAAAAAAAAAAGAGATCTATTTATTTCATTGGAAAGGCAGATGTACAGAGAGGAAGAGAGAGGAAGATTTTCCATCTGATGATTCACTCCCCAAGCAACTGCAACGGCCAGTGCTGAGCCGATCCAAAGCCAAGAAGCCAGGAGCTTCTTCAGGTCTCCCACGCTGGTGCAGGGTCCCAAGGCTCTGGGCCATCCTCAGTCACAAGCAGGGAGCTAGATGGGAAGTGGAGCTGCCGGGATTAGAACCGGCACCCATAGGGGATCCTGGCGTGTTCAAGGCGAGGACCTTAACCATTGTGCTATCGTGCCGGGCCCAATAATACCTTTTTCACGTTTAAAAAATGATGAAAAGGCATGCAACAGTTTTTCATCATAGGCATTTCCTGTGAATTTTTGAAGACGCCTTACGTGTCGCATCTCTGTGTGGGCACATGCCCACCTGTGCCCCGGTCTCCTTAGCTGTCAGGCTGCTCCTCGTGTCTGTTAGGTGAGGCAGGATCCTCTGCCCCCAAGTGCTGTCCTGTTGATGCCACATGCATTGAGAGTGTCATGCCACCCTCCACTGACAGAGGCTCCTGAACCAGAGGCTGTGCCTTCTTCCGGGCACAGCGATGTGCTGACCGCTCACCAGCTGGGCGTGACCTTGACTCACTGCTCCTGTCCCTGTAGCCTTGGCAGTAGGTAGGCAGTGTCCTACCTACACCTGAGGGGGAGCCACACGGGCGAAGGAAGCTGACGAGGGAGGGGCCTGGGGTGGCCCCGCCTCTTCCACCTGCCCACTCGGGTTTGTCTACTACCGCCCTCCCCAGCTGGCCTGAGGCCCAGGCCTCACCCCTCACCGCCGTCTCAGAAGATAATAAAAAGCTGATTCTTTTTTTTTTTTTCCTGGTAAAATTTCAGCAGAAAGTGTACGCATCATTAAATATGGAAATTCAGAATTTTATTAGCAATCTGCTAGATCTGAACTGACTCCAATTAAACAAAAAAGATATCATTTATAAAAAGGCAGAGTTCAACTTGTATTAAATATGAAATGCAATTTTCTCCTGGTTTTGATTTATTACTGGTGGTCCATTGTTCAAAGAAGCATGTTATATTTCAATAGAGAAATATTGTTTATTCATTAATATTTTAAAATGGGCTTATTGCTGTGCATGGCTCGCACTGAATGAAACTTATGATTTAAAGCATGAATTAATAAACACATTTGAAAGTGTTAGACGAGATCACAACCTCTCATTTTTCATTTTCCTGGGAGCATATTAAATTTTTATAATTCTGCATCTACAGTTTTTTCTTTTAAATAAAGATGCAGATTCCGAATTACTCTGCTAATTTCAGGTAACCAGGAGCGAAAAGCAATATCGCAGGGACTGGCGTCAGAGCTGCCGAATTCCCAAGAAGATGCTCAGGTTTATTTTTGTAATACTCATAAATCAAAATAAATGAGCTTTGTGGGGGAGGCAGCGTTCTTGGGTGCGAGCGTGCTGACTGTG